AATCCAACCCAACCTTAACACAGTGCTGACAGTTCTGCTAATAATTAAGAGACAGCAATCTCTTCCCTTATTTTTAGTTGTGCCCTTAACTCTCCTACACACAAGGCTCTTAAAATATCCGCGCATCTGGGAAAAGTCTTTTTCCATGTCAGCACTTGGATGCTATCCCACGGGATAAATTTGCCACACGCACACAGCACTAGGACCAAAATGATTTTAACTCGTTGGTTCCATAAATCAAACACAGGGAAACAGCCCCTGTGCAATCAAGTTTCATGACGCTCCCCCTGCTTCCCGCCTTGCCTCTGCTTATGGATGTGACAGATCACAGCTCAAACAAAGCTGAAATTCAGAGGGCTGCAGGGCTCCAGCTCCTGGGAGGTCCAAGTGAAAGTCTCAATGAGTTCAGTGGGTACGTCATGGCAAAGTTTTTGGCTGCTCAGAAGTGCTGGCAACAGAATAAACCCCCAAAACCTCAAACAAACCAACCGCCGAGCTGACATTTCTTGCTGAACAAAGAAACCCTACCTTGCACCCCACAGCCGACCCTCCTGCTCACAAAGAGTGTTTGGAGGGGGGGGCAAAGGGAGTTTCTAGGGCAGCAGAAGCTCCCTACTGCCCCAGTGTGTGGGGCTGAATGAGGTCCAGGGCTGGCACAAGCGGTGCGCAGTGGCAGCTCTCCAGAAGTACATGATTGACGTCAGTAACTTGTGTAATCATCCTGCCTTAGCTTGAGTCTATAAACAAAGTGTGTTTTGGGGGGGGGGTTTTGTGTGGTGTGGGGTTTTGTTGTGTGGGTTTTTTACATCTCAGGAGGTTGTATTTTCTCACAGGACTGGAACAGTGGAAATATTTGGAGGAACCTCCACCATAAATGAAAGTGCAGGAACCTGAAAGGTCCTTCCTGTCATCAAACTCATCCTCCCAAGCCTGAAATCTACTACTGGTTGTTTCTTCAAGAAAGCCACTGTTGGAACTCCTTCAGAAAAGCCTTTAGAAAGGCTCAAAACAGCACGGTCCAGAGGCAGAAAAATATCACACTGATTATGAACCGTCTCCCTCTTCCCCAACAGCCTTTTCATACTGCGAGTCTAGCAACAGACTGTGCCTTCTGTAACCCTAGGGGTAAACCTGAGCTCGGGTAAAACATCACAGCTCCATCCATACCATTTGTGACCAGACCTCTTGTGCCTAAAAGGTTGAGTTTTACCTTCTCACAGGCTAAACTATCAGGATAGAGTTTGTCTTTTTAAATGGATACTCAATGCAATGATCCCAAAGCAGCTTGTTGCAGCTTCGTTGCATCACTGGGATGCCCAGACAGATGCTTTTGGCTACACAGCAGTTGCACAGATCTGTGCACTGCTGAATGGTGCTCTGCAATGTCCACCTGATGTCGAATCATAGAATGGAATGGAATAGAATGTATTCCACCCCATAGAATGGAATGTCCTCGAAGGGATTTAGAGAAAGCGAGGTAATAAATGTGGTGCTCACTTCCTTCGAAGCAGGTTTTGAATCACGACTAGTTGATCTTCAAAACCACCTCTGCAGGATGCACAGCAATGCTGTCCTCACTTTCAGGAGAAGAAATGGTTAGGACACTGTAATGCTTTACACAGGGCCATGGTTAGGAGAATCTGGACTGGAGATGGGAACAGCTTTGCCCTTTCCAAAAGTAATTCCAGTCAATCTGAGTATCTTCACTTGCAGTTACGTGCTGGTGTTGTCATGTCTGAAATCCCTTGCTTTTTATTTTTCCCTCTAACCCATATTACTGCTCCTTCTCCTTTCAAAGTGAAAATAAACACAGTGGGTATTTTCCCTATTTTCCCCATATTCCTTGACAGCATTTTATGTTTCCTGCTACAAAACTGACAGAAGATCCTGATGTGGAAGAGTGGCAGCAATGACAACTTTAAAAAGTGTTACTGGAAAGCCACAAGTTTGAACTGTACTGCCTTTCCACTGTGCCACAGAGGTATTGATCCTTGCCTTCATGGAATCATGGAATGGTTTGGGTTGGAAAGGACCTGAAGAACACCCAGTTCCAACCCCCCGCCATGGGCAGGGACACCTCACACTAGACCACGTCACCCAAGGCTCTGTCCAACCTGGCCTTGAACACTGCCAGGGATGGGGCAGCCACAGCTTCTCTGGGCACCCTGGGCCAGCGCCTCAGCACCCTCACAGGGAAGAGCTTCTGCCTTAGATCCAACCTGAACTTCCCCTGGTTCAGTTTGAACCCATCAGCCCTTGTCCTATCACTCCAGTCCCTGATGAAGAGTCCCTCTCCAGCATCCTTGTAGCCCCTTTGGATACTGGAGCTGCTCTGAGACCTCCACGCAGCTTCTCTTCTTCTCCAGGCTGAGCAGCCCCCCAAGCCATTAGCAATGGATGTCCACATCCTTGCTGATGTATTTCTCAAAATCATGAAGAAGAGGTTCAAGGATGAAGGCCAGCTGGTGATGGAGGTAAAGACCACATACATTACACCACACAAGAAGCTCCCTACTAGCATTACCTAAAGTTGGTATCAATGCTGTATGAGGCAAAAAAAAGAGACTTTAAAAGCATCGTGCCTACCTTGTTGATGTGCAGTTGCTGCTGCTGGAATTGCTGTTTGTGTTTCTCCAAGAACTGCTGGTGCTGCTGCTGGATCACTAACTGCTGGAGGGCCTGGGCGTTCTGGGGAAGGGGAGCAGACTGCGTGCGCCCCAGCGGGCGATGCTGCCGGAGTTTGTGTATTGAAGGGGAGACCCGTTCTCCACCAACCAGAGACTGTGCATGGAGGGGCAGTCCTGAAAGATACCAGTCTGAAGATAATATGGAGGAAAAAACAGCAGAGAAGAAAAAAAGGAAGAAGAAAGGAAGGGAGAAAACGGCTGTTGAGTAACGCTGATGCTGACAATGACATAACGTTAAAACCAGCCACCTCGCCATTTACAGCTGAAGCATCCTTAAAAGAGAACAGATAACAATTAATTACCACCGGGTGAAGAAATACTTTGCTTTCCTTCAAGTTCTTTCTTTTCTTGTTCACTCGAAGCCCATAGGGAAACGTTTCATTTCTTAAACCCAGCAAAACCTCACTAAGCCTTCCATCACTCCATGGGTGACATGAATGAACATCACAGTGGTAGTTTGGAGAAGTTTAAGTCTTGGTATAGGGAGTAACCCCAGGTTCATTTCTAAGCAAGCAGCAACCCAAGCTGCCACCTCCCAGCATCCAGCAATTACACCTTACAGGGGGCTCACTGGATATGCTGAAGGATGAGATGATGGATGATGATGAAGCTGCTGCTTACTCTAGACCACACAGGGCATGGCCACCCTTGGCAGTGCTCTGTCCTCCCCTGTAGCAACGACTAGGGTGAAAACTTCCATGTGATAAAGCCCTCACCAGGTTTGCACTGGAAAAAAAGCACTTCCTTGAAGCATTTCAGGTATATGGGAGCAATCAGGCTTTGGTATTTCTATAGAAAGAAGGTAAGGTAGTTAGAGCCCAAGATGACAAATAGCTACAGTTGTTTTCGTTACTGTCCTGTGCATACATGCTAGCAACTTAATGAAAACATAAGGTTATTTTGGGATAACTTGAGTGAATCATATGCCCCTGGCAATTTGGGTGATGACTACCATGTGAAACACCTATCTGAGCTCCACTAAGGGCATGTCTTTAGGAAGCCTCATGTCTTTTGACCTGTTCTTCAGATAAACCGGTTCTTGCTCTACTCTCCAAAAACACTTCCCATATTTCTTAGAAAGCTGGGACACGGAAACGGGCCCAACCCAAAGCCCAACCCAAGGATGGAGGAACTGAGGATAAGCATTTACTTCTGCTCATTACACCCTGGAATAGAAAGGCATTGCTGGTGTGAACTGTTGTCTCCCGAATGTGGATCAGGCTGCACACTCTTTTGCTTCAGCTCATTGAGTAAAACCAAGTAAAGCCTGTGCAAGTGTTAGGCAGCATTCAGAAGTACTGCCTAGTTCAAGGGGCAGAGAAGTTGTATCTTCTCTCTTTCTTCAGTCTTTAGAAGAGAGAGAAGCTGCCCAGAGTTCTCCAGCCAGCTGAATGCAGCAGTTTAGAAACACCTTGACATTTCTGTCCAGGACATTACCTCATTTTCCCATTGATTCACCACCTGCCCTACATGGAAGAATCTGACTCATTTAAAAGCCTCTCTTCTTGGGGAAAGATTTATTGGCTTCCTCCCACCTTTGCTTTTCTGAAAAGAATTATGTAAAAGGGCATCTTTGTTTATAAATGCATGTCTATAAATTCACGTATATACATACACACACACATATGTCTGTGTGTGTATGAATAGATGAGTAAGTGGGAAAGATGTGTTCCATTTCCCTCACAGCACAGTCCCTCTCACCAGCAGAGGAAGGGATCCTATACAGTTTGCATAGGATAACTTGGAGGACTACCCTCCTCCAAGTGAGTGACCAAGGTCCCCCCCTGTGAACCACCTTGTTCCTACTCAGGACATTTATGTCAAGGTTACTATCCAGAGTAATCTGTCACAAGAGGAATGGCTCAAGAGGAATTCTGCTCAGCTTTCCCAACCCCCCCATGTCTACCTTCCAGCACAGAAATGCCATCCTGCTGGATCACTGTAGAGCTGTCAGGATCCTATCTCCAAAGCTGAAGGCTCTGAATACTTATAAATGACACTTTGCTTCCAAGGAAGTCTGAAGAACCAACTGTACTTTAGCAACCAGTCCATCCAGGGCTTTGGAGAACTTGTGTTAGATTTCTCTCTTTCAGTCACTGCATTGGGAACGTGTGTTTCTTCTTGCTGCTCTGTTGTATTGTGAGTATTTCTCCTAAGTGGTGGTTTATAACATGCTGTACTCACTCTGAGAACACTCCGGGTAGCCGGTGGACTAGAAGGAATACGTTTGGAAGCAACCACGGTACACTGTAAACTGAAGGAAGCTTTGAGAGAGGTCACATAGGAAGCAGAACCGCACTTCTTCCTACGTGTGCTCTAATGCAAACACCAGCACAGAGGAGAAAGCTGTGGTGATAGGATAAGAGAAGTCTTCTCCAATGGCTTCTCATCAACAGACCTTGGGCAAAGGGTAACTGGTGAAGAGCCATGTCACAACTCTGGGTAACACCATCATGCCACCTTCCACTGGCCCTGGTTGCTCCAAGCCTCAAAGAACATGCTTTTAAGCTTCTCACAACCCCACGTATATTCCTGGGATTTGAATGTAGAACTAGACAGGAGCTAAACAAAGAGTTATGCTGTAATGCTTCCCATTAGAAATGGAATGAAAGAAAGTAAAACCAACACATCTATTGTAACTTCAGCAGAACATCCTTGTCCCAGCATTACACACTGTAAAACCAAATCCTACTGGGGATTGTTGCTTTGAATTAACACTATTTATAGAAATGTGCCTTCCCACAGGTACTTCATGCTGAAAACATGACACAGGGAGTGATTCAAAGCAATTAGCACCCTGAAAATGTAACAGACACAAACACAATCTGTTGGAATGCAGCTGATGTTGCCATGTTTTTACCACTTCCAATAATGATGAACAGCAAGTATTTTAATCGGTGAGCTTTTAAACGTGTGTCTTTCCTATATGGAATAGAAATCAGAGGTGATAAACAGGAATGCTGTGTCTCTTTTGTGCAAGAGACAGACCTTACAAACAAACAACATATGCCACTTACTCTCCTTCTTCAACCATCCATACAGTTTAAGGACTGAGTTTTGCACATTACCTATGGATCACTCACCTGTGACTAAGGGAGTTTGTGCAGTTGGCTGTTCCAGTAAGACCATGTGTTGCAGAAGAGGGTTATGTGCAGTTCCCCCATCTCTTTCCAACGTTGTAGTGCTCAAGTAGGGAGTGAGGTGAGTGCCAGGAAATAAAGAGATCCGCTGCTGTAAGGTTGGGATAGTAAGTCTCTCTGCATCTTGCTGCGCTGACCCTCCCTGCAAGTGCACAGTGGATGGCAGGCACATTAAGGGATAACTCAGGGCAAACAACAACAACATTCCAAAGGCTGCATCCTCCCTCCCCACTTACACTGGAAGGGCCAGTTGCAGGCAGTCCTAGCGTGATGTTGGGCAAAGAAGGAGATGTGTAGAGTGGAAGCTGTGTAACGGAGCCTTCACGATTCACAAGTCTGTGAGCCAGGCTGGTCTGGAAACAAAAGCAAGAACATTGTCCTGGTGAGAAAGCATCCACAGATCAGATCACATCAAGGACAAAGTCCAATTGCTCTGAGAACACATCACAAACTTCACCTCTGACGTTGGAAATACTGAACAGGGAAGCTAAACTAGGCTTTAGATCCAGCCTAAATAATCAAGCTCCCCCTCTGCTGCGCTCTGGGGAGACCCCCCCTGCAGCCTTGATCCAGCTCTGGGGCAACAGCACAAGAGGAACGTGGAGCTGCTGGAGTGAGGCCAGAGGAGGCCTCGGAGCTGCTGCGAGGGCTGGAGCCGCGCTGCCCTGGAGACGGGCTGAGAGAGCTGGGCTGGGGCAGCTGGAGAAGAGAAGGCTCCTGAAGGGGACACCTTAGAGCAGCTCCAGTGCCTAAAGGGGCTCCGGGAAACCTGGAGAGGGGCTTTGGACAAGGGATGGAGGGACAGGACAAGGGGAATGGCTTGGACCTGCCACAGGGGAGACTGAGATGAGTTCTTGGGCAGAAGCTGTTCACTGTGAGGGTGCTGAGGCGCTGGCACAGGGTGCCCAGAGAAGCTGTGGCTGCCCCATCCCTGGCAGTGTTCAAGGCCAGGTTGGACACAGGGGCTTGGAGCAACCTGCTCTAGTGGAAGGTGTCCCTGCCCGTGGCAGGGGTTGGAACTGGATGAGCTTTAAGGCCCTTTCCAACACAAACCAGCCTGGGATTTTATGAAGCCCAGACAAGGTGCATGCCCTGAACACTGTCTCACGAAGGGGAGACGAGACCAGGACAACCAACACAGGGATGATCTCACCCTGCAACTGCCACCAACCTCTCTGCCCTACAGAGAGACCTTTTACAGCTTATTTGGTCTTTTCTGGGGACTAAGGATCACCCCTGCATCTTCCCCAGCACTCTGCTTCTGCTCAGGCTTCATGCAGACTCATTGCAAAAAGCTTTTGCAAAGAGATTTAACAGCTTACTTGTCCTTCCCAAGTATTTGCCCTTTTAAAGCTAAGAGAGATTACCTTAAAAACCAAAAGGCACTACAATGACTGTTGTTCTCTTTAGCAAATCACAGACAATTTATGCTACTTACTAGTGCGCTTTAGCTTAAATCAGACTTCAACATTTCATCCTAAAGCCTTAAGGTTGCATTTACGTAGCTGTTTCCTGATTTACTGAATTATCTTATGGCCATTTAAAGCAGGAACACTTAAGTAAAAATACCTTTAATTTCAAACAAGACTGATTTATGTGCTAGAAAAGCCATTATGAAAATGACAATAAACTGCCTGATTTTCCTGTTAGGAAACAAGTGTTCTGATCATCCTCAATTCTCTACAGGCCTTTTTCCAACTTAAATAAAATAGAGTTGAGATTTCTAAATTACTTTCTATAGAATTTCTACTGTTGAACTCAGGTGCTGTTGTGAGAAAAGGGTTTACTATTAACTTCATGTTATACTGCAGAACAATCTGTATCGATGCAACAGGTAGCTGAAGAATGGCTTAAAACATTTTGAACTTAAATTCAACATCCTCTAAGTCAATGAGACTTTGCAGGTTATTTCCTTGGCCGCAGGGTTATGGCCAGCTCTGGATAATAGAAACCTGGTTTTCTCCCTCAAAGATTATAGTGAAGCTTAAAGTAACGTGCTGGGGGGAAGCACAGAAGAAGTAGTATTGAAAACCAAACATTTTCTATAGCACAACCTCCAAGAGCAATCTCACCTCTTTGACTTAGCAGTATTTAAGGGGAGCAGCTTGTCCTGGCTTTGGCTTTAATAGAACACCCCATCTCTGCACCTGAGGGTTGTGCTGCTGGTGCAAGGACAGGAGAAGGAAACCTTCCCAACGCGTGTCACTGTTATCAGACACTGGGCTGCCTTTTACATGCAGTCTTCAATGTGGCACTGACGTGCCAGACATTCTTCCCGTGTCCAATTGCAGCTAAATTCCAAGTGTTCAACAAAGTCACCTGGTTTTCCCAGGATCCTGGGCAAAATTTCATCTGCAGAGTGAATTCTGTCTTATTTCCTTTTGCCTTCTTGTGCCTTCATTAATGGCATTCCAGCTCACTGAAAGTATCATAGAACTACAGAGTGGTTTGGGTTGGAAGGGACTTTAAAGCTCATCCAGCTCCAACCCCTGCCACGGGCAGGGACACCTTCCACTAGAGCAGGTTGCTCCAAGCCCCTGTGTCCAACCCGGCCTTGAACACTGCCAGGGATGGGGCAGCCACAGCTTCTCTGGGCACCCTGTGCCAGCGCCTCAGCACCCTCACAGGGAAGAGCTTCTGCCCAAGAGCTCATCTCAGTCTCCCCTCTGGCAGGTTCAAGCCATTCCCCTTGTCCTGTCCCTCCATCCCTTGTCCAAAGCCCCTCTCCAGGTTCCCTGGAGCCCCTTTAGGCACTGGAGCTGCTCTAAGGTGTCCCCTTCAGGAGCCTTTTCTTCTCCAGCTGCCCCAGCCCAGCTCTCTCAGCCTGTCAGTTCTTCCATAGAAAGAGAAACTCTCTTTTGAAGGTCTCACTTCAGAAGCTGGAAAGGAGGAGATCTGCAGGGAGCACTCTGCTGCTGAGCAGTACCTGGTAAGGCCAAGCGATGTGCATACCCACACGCTGCTTCTGCCAAGTAATTGTGAGCACTAGTGGCAATTTGGCTTTAATTTAAATGACATAATGGTAGCGTGCCACATTGAGAAGCAGATAGTTATTGTCAGCACAGTAATGTAATAGTCTACTGATATCATAAATGAAACAAAACTACATCCATTTTCTCTGTGAACAATCAATACTCTGTAGTTGTGCCTCAAAGTATCTCCTGGGGATTTGTTTGAAAAACAGTGAAGAGCAAAATGCAACAGCTTGACACTATCAGCATCTGGTATTTAGCAGCATTATCATCACTTTAAATATACAGATCCAATTTAGGGGGTGTACACAAACATTTGCTGAATTGCACAGAAGAGAACAATTTCAGCATGCACGATTTTGGGCTGTAGACAAGTACTTTTTATAGCCTTGCATCAACTGCAATGGCAATGAGTATCATGTACCTTGCAGAGATGGAAAAACCTCTGGATTTCAAACCAGAATTTACCTAGATAGTGTCTATCTTAAAAGGAGGCAGAGAGCTGTAGCCTTTCTCCACTGAAGACAAGCACTGACACTTAAATATTTAATAGATTTACCAGATATAAACTAGGTATTAAACAGGTACCATCTTCCATCAGACTTGAAATGGTTCAGAGGTGACCAAGCCAACAAAGAGATGTATTTCTCGTTTAAAACAAAACTTGAAGGTGTCCTCAGTATAAGGAGGACACGGAGCTGTTGGAGCAAGTCCAGAGGAGGCCACGAGGATGCTCAGGGGCTGGAGCAGCTCCCGTATGGAGACAGGCTGAGAACATTGGGGTGTTCAGGCTGGAGAAGAGAAGGCTCCGGGAAGACCTCAGAGCAGCTTCTAGTGTCTGAAGGGAGCTACAAGGATGCTGGGGAGGGACCTTCATCAGGGACTCTAGTGACAGGACAAGGGGTGATGGGTTCAAACTGAAACAGGGGAAGTTCAGGTTAGATCTAAGGCAGAAGCTCTTCCCTGTGAGGGTGCTGAGGCCCTGGCACAGGGTGCCCAGAGAAGCTGTGGCTGCCCCATCCCTGGCAGTGTTCAAGGCCAGGTTGGACACAGGGGCTTGGAGCAACCTGCTCTAGTGGAAGGTGTCCCTGCCCGTGGCAGGGGTTGGAACTGTGTGATCTTAAGGTCCTTTCCAACCCAAACCATTCCATGATTCTATGATTTAGCTAAGCCATTCAAGTATGCCTGGGATGCTGGAGGAGAACAGTTTGTGCAACAGGTTATCAATGTTCTGTTTGCCATCACACAGTGATTTATGTTTCATTCTGTTCTGTGATGGCAACGATCCAATAGACTTAACACAGTCCTGGGCAGTTTTAAAAATGGAACTGCACAATCATGTCTGTTCTATTTTCCCTCTTTCCCAAAAATCATACGAAAGTGAAAAAAAAAAGCCCTCCAAAGCTGCAGACATGATTTTCAGGGAAATGAAACCTGGATTTTCTTCCTCCTTTACGCACAGGTTGTTTGGAGATGGTGCAAAGGGGCTGCTCTGGTTAAAATTCCAGAGGAACACACTTCTCTCCCCACATGCAGCAGCACTGCTGTGAATTACCCACTGTGGTACAGCTGCAAAAGAGGCAAAGATGATTCCCAGGGGAAGGCTTTGGAACTTAGAAGGATTATTCCCAGATCATTTGCAACACTCGTGCCTCAGCTAAAAAGCTGCTGCATTACAAGCAGTTGATGAAAAGAGTTTCTCCTACAGTCTGTGTCCATTTTACTAGATATTAGTGGTCTAATCACAGATTATTGAGCTGAAAAATAAATGGTTATGGAGAACATCACAGCTTCACCTTCACCTGTATCACCTTCACCTGTATCCCTGACTGTGGGGAGCTGCCTGCTCTGTTTATATCCCAAGAAATGGTTGAATCCACTGGTTTTTCCACCAGCAGTACTTGGGGATTTGCAGTTTGCCAAGTATAGACACGACTGACAGCTCCTGGATCAGCAAAACCAGCACCTCAGTGCAAGTCTTCTGGGGCTGACACAAACACACCCAAGATGTGCCCTCAGCTCAGCCAGGCTTCGGTTCTTGCAAACCCAACCAATAACCCTGGGTGTGAGATGCCTTCTCCCAGGTCTGCTCCAAACTACTGCACAGTTGGTGTGCAGCTCAATAGCCACATCTCTTTAGAGCAGCTTCAGCTGATGGTGTCAAGTAAAGACTCCACCTTACACTACCATGGAATGGTTTGGGTTGGAAAGGACCTTAAGATCATCCAGTCCCAACCCCTGCCACGGGCAGGGACACCTTCCACTAGAGCAGGTTGCTCCAAGCCCCTGTGTCCAACCCGGCCTTGAACACTGCCAGGGATGGGGCAGCCACAGCTTCTCTGGGCACCCTGTGCCAGCGCCTCAGCACCCTCACAGGGAAGAGCTTCTGCCCAAGAGCTCATCTCAGTCTCCCCTCTGGCAGGTTCAAGCCATTCCCCTTGGCCTGTCCCTCCATCCCTTGTCCAAAGCCCCTCTCCAGGTTTCCTGGAGCCCCTTTAGGCACTGGAGCTGCTCTAAGGTCTCCCCAGAGCACAGCAGAGGGGCAGGATCCCCTCCCTGACCTGCTGCTCACGCTCTGGGGGTGCACCCAGCACACGGGGGGTTCTAAGCGCAAGCACACACTGAAGCCGGGTCATGGGGAGCTTCTCCTCACCCAACACCCCAAGTCCTTCTCCTCAGGGCTGCTCCATCCATTCTCCACCAGCCTGTGCTTGAGATTGTCTTAATCTTCACAGTAATTGTCTAAATCTTTTAAGTTCTACAGCAGAGTAGAGTGAATGCAGCTGTGCTGGGTAATTTGGCAGAGGAGAGGGTGCAGATATTTAACATTCCCCATACTAAATACTGTTACACTGCATTAGAAATAAACATAAAGTGAAAATCTGTACAAAACTAGAAAGCATGAAGGGCTCACATTTATAGTGCAAGAAGCCCTTTTCAATTCTAAATGACAATTTGGGGAGAACAAGCCCAAGCCTGTTTTTACAGTCCTGATGGTAAAAAAGAAACTATATTCATGGGGAGAACAGCTAATGGTAAGCTGAATAAGAAGAAATGCACCAGTAACATTACACAATGACACTGCTTTTGTACACGTAAGGTTTACAGTGAGAGCCAGTTAATGTGGCCCACACCCCAATATCTGCCCTTAGCAGAAGGTGGGCTTCAGTAACCCTGAACTCAGGAGCTGTTATCTGCCAGTTTACTCAGTCCAACACCCTGCCCTTGGCATCTGTAGCAGATGCCTCAAGCACTGGTGAAAGATTTGGGCCATGAGGATGAACAGGGGCTGGAGCAGCTCCCATACAAAGACAGGCTGAGAACACTGGGGCTGTTCAGCCTGGAGAAGAGAAGCTGCTGGAGGCCTCAGAGCAGCTTCCAGTGTCTGAAGGGGGCTACAAGGATGCTGCAGAGGGACCTTCATCAGGGACTGGAGTGATAGGACAAGGGGTGATGGGTTCAAACTGAACCAGGGGAAGTTCAGGTTGGATCTTAGGCAGAAGCTCTTCCCTGTGAGGGTGCTGAGGCGCTGGCACAGGGTGCCCAGAGAAGCTGTGGCTGCTCCATCCCTGGCAGTGTTCAAGGCCAGGTTGGACACAGGGGCTTGGAGCAACCTGCTCTAGTGGAAGGTGTCCCTGCCTGTGGCAGGGGTTGGAGCTGGAGGAGCTTTAGGTTCCCTTCCAACACAAATTATTCCATGATTATCCACCAGGATGTGGTATCAGGCACCAAGCTTTCAAATCCCTAAGTGGGGAGGAAAAGCTTAAATGCGTTCCCTTTAATACAGGTCTGGTTTGTTCATGTTTAGACAAAGCTACTGCATAGAACAACTTCACCCTTCAGCCAACATATGGGAACAGATTCCCCTGAATCAAAAATACTTCCAGTTGACCAGGAAATGTTCTTCACGCTTTACCTTGTTAAATCCCTGTCTTTTGACTCTCTCCTCACAACAAATCCCCTACAAGTTACCACAAGCAGCTTGTGAGCTGCCTCGGCTGAGATTTAATCAACAGATAACACATCCTGTCATGCCAGATTGAGAGGTAATTCCCAAAGCCTGCCCCGAGTCATGAGCCAGGTCTTTGTTTCTGTGGTGCACACTGGTTTGTCCACTTCAATTCCTAAAACTCTGCAAAACCTGATATGAACCCCAAGTGTTAAAACCCAGAGGGAGGAAGAGCTCTGTACCTCTGCTTGAATACTCGTGACTGATCCTGCAATTCCATTCTCGGTGCTTATGTTATTGGAGCTGTTGTTTGGAGAGCTGGGACCAGATCCAGGAGCACTGTTGCATGCAGAGTCTAAAAACACATCCAAAACCAACTTTCAGTGTTACAAACAATCTCCATGATGGTATTTAAACAGATAACAACCCTTCAAGTTTTGTTTTGGACAAAAGCAACCTTCCTTCTCCCCATCTCCCCGCCTAAATCTTCCCAAGGCTCTTAAAATACCAACAAATGATTTCAAATGGGCTGTCCAAGTACCTACTTACCATACTCAAGTCTTCTCCTCCTGGGGATTTCTCTTACAGCGTAATAATTACTTTAAATACAATTGGAAGATAATAAAAGACATGGGAAAGGCTTGAAAAGGCCAAACTGGGGGATGCCGGATTGTCCTGCTTCTGTTTTCTAAGAGTGCTTCTCTCCCCCTCTTTAGCCTATAACCCCAGCAACACCCTCTACTCATGGATTGCATCAGACTTCACACTGGAACAACCAGGGGAACTGTCTCAGCCTTGACATTTTCCCACGCAGGCTTCTGGTCCATCTGGATTTACTGGACAGCCACCACTAGCACCGAGCCCGACACAAGGACTGACCTTTGCTTTTAGAAAGAAGCACTGAGATTTTCCAGTGCAGGGCATGTGGCACGTCCCTGTCCCCTGTGAAGTGCCCACACCATGCCCGGTCCTCAGAGAAACAAGACCTGCCTTAGGTTGCCCTTCACACAACTCCCACAGCACTGAGCTTCCCCCCCAAAAAAGCCTGGGGACTGACTTCCAAGGATGATATTTTGCCAGGAGTTTGCAATTGAATTTGGCAAATTCAATTGTTTGATGGGATTTAAAAGCTGTCTGAGTGAAATGGGGCTGGATGGACAACTAGCCACGGCCGTGGCTGAGCATATTTCAACAAGAATCAGGCAAAACTCTACAGGGTCCAAGTCTGTTTAAATCCCTGCCTTTTTGAGGGGTAAATCTTCTCCCCCTGTTTACTGAGGGAGTAAAGAAGGCTCAGAGAGTCCTCTCCATTTTACGTACTTCATCAATACGTTCCCTTTGAACTCACTAACCAGAACCACGGAGGTGCCCAGCCTGAAATCAAAGCCTCCCATCAACAACACAGAAACAACAACAAACAGAAAGAGCACGTGAAATGGCAACAGCCAGAAATCTTCCCTTAGAAGGTGTCTCACGCCGTGCATGGCCCAGCTTCCACTGCTTCTCCCTTTAGTTTGGAAGGCAAATAACACTCTAAACCTTTTCTGCAGCCTAAAAGCCATGTGACATATAGCAATAGATGAGTGAAGTAGACTGGATTTTCAGACCTGCTATAAATGATGCTTAGCTCTTGAAATCATCTATTCCCTTGCAAAACAGAGAGGCTCCAAGTGGTGCATAGCTACCCCAGGGTCTCCTGAACGCACTGTGCTCTCTAAAGACAGCTCACTCGGAGTTCCTCTGAACGATGCTACTGTGCCTTAAAGTGAGCCAAGTCTGAAAAAGCTGTTACACAGTGGTACTTACACACAGGCATCCCTAGATGGTGCTAAGAATTAACTTTATGGTAATCTATATAATCTACTTTACCCCGATTCCTCCTTATGAACTTGACTCCCAGAAGAATATTATTCTTCAACAAGAAACTGTCAAATAAGTAGTCAAAATATCAGCTCTCTCTCTATATATAAAACAATGCCTTACATGCTTTAAAACCTTGGGGTAATTACCTAACAAGGAACTATGGCAGCCTGCCCAAAAGCTTAAACAAACAGGGGTTATAAAGCATTTCCTGCTGGAGGACGACAGCCGTGAATTACAGCCTCCCCAAGGATATTAATAGGATCACCTTTGAGAAAGTTGATTTCTCAACCTGTTGCTGAACATCATAGAAATGCTTGGGGCAACCAAAACTACCCAGTGCTCTGGTGGCATAGTCCCATGTCTTCAAACCACCTCCAAAGCCAGGCTCCTGCAGTTGATAAGTGTTATCTCGACAGATCGGTACCTAATGGACCGACGCTGCTGACGCACAGACATCCCCCACTGCTGAACTCGGCCAACTTCATCCCGCTTTCACCAGCACCTCAGAGATCAGGGATTCCTGCAGGGATTCATGTGGGGAAGGGACTATCTCATGGAGCGGGTGGCTGCAGGGCAGCTGTGTTGCTCACCCACCTACCTGTGACATCCAGCGGGCGCTTCTTCAGAGCGGTAACCACGGGACCATCTTTCCTGCGCAAGAGGGGGCTGCTCCGTCTTTCAGCAACTTTCTGCTTTAGTCTGGATCGTAACTTCAGGTTGGGTTCAGATGCTGAACAGGATCAAGCAAAGCAGAGAGTGTTTTGGTTAATATTAGTTCAATTTTTTACCTTTTTGGTTAATATTAGTTCAATTTTTTACCTTTTTGGTTAATATTAGTTCAATTTTTTACCTTTTTGGTTAATATTAGTTCAATTTTTTACCTTTTTGGTTAATATTAGTTCAATTTTTTACCTATTTCAGTCGTTTTTATGGCAAAGGCTGGGTTGAAGTTCAGCATTTGCAGAGGCCTAAGTGAAATTAGTCATTTGATAGCATAGATGTGGAAGAAAGACTTAATAGAATGAGCAGGTCCCAGCCCATGTGACAGCTGAATTCACTGGCTATGAAAGTCAATAGCATTTTAACTGGTAATAATCATCCTGCTAAGTCTTCTCTCAACTGAAGACACAGCCTTACAAGCAACCGTGAACTCGGACTCCTGCAGAGAGCATCATTCACCTTCCCTAGCTTCCCAGCTTGCTCCCAAGCCAGTGGTAAAGCTGAACTACAGGATCAAAACCATCAGTACAGGAACTGGTGAAACAACTGAGATGTTGCTGTTTGGTCAAGCATGGAGCATCACCGTGGGGCTCAGGCAGCATCTGCAACGTGCTGCTGAAACAGGCAGCTTCCCACTCGTGGAGTCATCCAACCCCAGGGTGAGCTGGCTTAGGGAGGAACACCAGGGGAGGGAGACAGAAAACAGGAAAATGAAAGCCCACAACCAAACCAGGAGAGTGTTTTCCTGCTGCTTCACCTCCCTGAAGCATCTCACCTTGGAGCGAGATGAGCCTGTGTCTTCTGTAGCCAGTGTCAACTCAAGAAAGAGGGCATGAGAGTGTGGCTAAAGGCCAAAGCCAAAGCCAGGGAGGAGAAGGTCTGCTTGTTTGGGGAGCAACTTGGTTTTCATCATCACAGGCACAAAACTAAACTGTATCTAACCCCACATCTCAAATGCTTTGAGAATTCAGGGCTGCCAAGGGTAGGTGTGCATGGATTTCCTGAGACCACAGTCTGACTTGCTTTGTGTACCTCATCCTTTTGAGAGCCTCTGTTCAACACTTTTGCTGTATTTAAATCCTGGAATTTCATCTCTCCAAAAGCCAAAGCAGAGCTCCTGGGAAGCTCTATCCTAATGCCTCTTGGTTAATGACAGCTGGCAACACAGAACACGTTGGTATGGCACAGATTATCAAGGTTTTATAAAGGTAATGAAGCTTTAAGTCAAGATGCCTCCTGCAAGATGATTTTCTCTGTGAACTTCCTGATCCCTTCAGTGTACATGAACTATCAGCTTCGGTGCTTGAGGGCTCCTGACAGTTACGAGATTTGTGAACTGGCCCAATCTTTTCCCCTCCTCAACCTCTTAACAACTCTGCAGCTTAATCCCTTTGAACAAGCAAATCCTGTGCTCTCACCATTAACCACCCATACACTCAGCTCCCTGTACTCCAGGGACAATGAGCTATATTGCTTAAGGAGAATTAAAAGAGGGTTTACAAACTGATTTGAATTAACTAAGGCTGGCTACAGATATATTTTCCTTACAGTTGGCTTTGACCACTGGGTCACGTCAAAAATCAAGCCTGACAACATGAATTGCAGGGTTCAAAAATCAGAAGGCTGCTGAATTCAAGATCAAATGCTTGAAGTTAAGCCATCAAAACAGTTCTTTGATGAAACTTTTTTTTGGGGGGGTGGGGGAAACAGAGCTTTTCATGAAGGTTTTGGACATGAAAATGCCAGCAAGAGATAAAGGGAGCACTAAGAGTGTCAGACTCCTCTCAAGATGATGTTTAAAATGCAGTATGAAGTGCATTAGCAAAGGGAAAATAATCTTACAAGGCATTTGCATGGAAAATGGCAGGGGACTGAATGCAAATCTGTCATCTGCTTGGAGGGCAATATTGGAAGAGTGGACTAGTTAAAATATACAAGCATAGGTTCTAACCAGCTACTTCATTAAGTTCTCTTCAAACCAGAAGTTGACTTACTGCTTTCAAAGTAGCCTTTAGGTACAGGAACATCCAGTAACACATCCCTCAGCCTTTAATTCACAGTTTTAATTGGTTCCAAATCTTGAGGATTAGTAACTGTGTAGATGCTCCAGTCAAGACTTTAAAGAACAAATGGGAACTAGATGCCGATACATCTGGTTTGGATACATCTGCATTGCCAACCAGTAAGTGAAATATAAGCCTATGCCCCAGCTGTTGAAAGGATCTGTCTTCTGCCAAAGCAAAACAGGATGATGAAAACTGTACTTGAGCACAGCTTTTATTCATATGCAATGCAGACCCTGCACGGTGTTCAGCTGAAGCATGTTTTCCACTGGGAACCGACAAGTACTTGTGAGGTTTTCCAAATACAGAGAAGGAATTGGTTAGAAACACCTTCAAAATGGGCAGGGAGACAAAAGAGCTGAGGCTCGCAGATTACCCAACACGACCAGATCTGCCCCCTGTGCAAAGCCACAATAGCCATGGCCTTCCATGTAACAGGAAGGGAATGAACAGAGGCAATTGCAGCCTCAGCAGAGAAAACACCTCGAGAACAGATCATTGTGAAAGCAGGGTATCACAATTTGTCAGACAAGACCCTTTTCAGGCAAAACTATCCCATATATTTCTCCTTTGCTTCCTCAGCTGGAGTTTTGAAACCCCAAAGAGTCTCTTTAAAGAACTGTATTTCTTTAGCTCCTTCTGATTTTGGCTTTATCTTCACTGCCCCGTTATAATCCCAAATCTAACCTCTCATTAAGACCTCAGACAGCATAATCCCAACCCACATTTAATTGGGTGCTATACAGCCCGAATGAGGTGAATTCAAATTCAGGCAGCGGAGAACAGTCTTCAATTCAAGGAATCAACATATAGCATCTTTTCTCAGAAAAGATGTAGCTTTAAACAGGCATTTCCAAACCTCAAAGCGATCATTTAAGCTGATTCAGATGGATTTTAAACTATTAGATACCAGCAAATAGTTTTAAGCTGAAGAGGGCTGTCCTTCAAATGGAGAAAGCAGGAATTCAAGCAACATGTAACTATCAATACTAGATACTCAACACAGGTCAGATGTTCTCCCAGGAACACTAATTCCACTGAAAATCTCCCAGTATTCACCCTGTCAGGCAATATACCCAAATAAAGCCAACTAAACCCATCACTGCTACTTAGAGCAAGCTTAAGGCTGAATTACACAACTTACTGGTCTCCTACGTCTTAAGGTGAAACCCTGCAAAACAAACACTGGGAAGTTAGAAAGAAATCAGGTTGATTCCTGTTTAGCAAACAGATGGAGCCCATGCCAAGTCTGAGTCAGCTTCCACAAAGCCAGTGGGATTTCTTCAGCAGTGACATACTTAATTTGGCCTATAATAAGGATTTATACAAAGAATATTTTGTTTTCCTCCCAGTAAATTAATAACTAGAGCATAAGCCAAAAGCTTCCCTAGTTTGCACAGGCTCAAACCCAACTTACCCCTCTTATACATCATTTATTGCAGCAGAACCCATGTAATCCAATTCGCCAACATTTATGTCATTCTCATTGTTTTCTTCCTAGAATTGCATCCCCTAAGCTGCTGAACTAATGGGACATTAAGTCTATGCAAGTCAAAAAACACAAAGTCCTGGGCAGACTTTGCCATGTTCCCATTAACCATCCACGTTTCTGATCAAACAGCAAACAAAGCACCACGGAAACCTTCATCCCAGTCCTTCAACATCTTGATTTCAGCAGCTCTGCCCTGTGAGGGTGCTGAGGCGCTGGCACAGGGTGCCCAGAGAAGCTGTGGCTGCCCCATCCCTGGCAGTGTTCAAGGCCAGGTTGGACACAGGGGCTTGGAGCAACCTGGCCAGTTTAAAGTCATTTAAGGCCAGTTTAGGCTCTAAGGTCTCCCTGGAGCCTTCTCTTCTCCAGGCTGAGAACATAGCAAGTATCTTGTAAAAAATCTAAAACTCTGAAATTCAAATCTAATCTAAAACCTCTTAAATATATAGCAGATATTTTTATCCAGCCCTTTTTAATCATGCATATATATTTCTAGATACATTATTTCAGGTGATGCCATCCAGCAAGCTAAGAAAGTTGGGGCCGTTCAGGCTGGAGAAGAGAAGCTGTGTGGAGACCTCAGAGCAGCTCCCAGTGTCTGAAGGGGGCTACAAGGATGCTGGAGAGGGACCTTCATCAGGGACTGGAATGACAGGACAAGGGGTGATGGGAATAGGGGAAGTTCAGGTTAGATACAAGGAAGCTTCTCTGGGCACCCTGTGCCAGCGCCTCAGCACCCTCACAGGGAAGAGCTTCTTCCTAATATCTCATCTCAATCTCCCCTCTGGCAGGTTCAAGCCATTCCCCTTGTCCTGTCCCTACATCCCTTGCCCAAAGCCCCTCTCCAGGTTTCCTGGAGCCCCTTTAGGCCCTGGAGCTGCTCTGAGGTGTCCCCTTCAGGAGCCTTCTCTTCTCCAGCTGCCCCAGCCCAGCTCTCTCAGCCTGGCTCCAGAGCAGAGCTGCTCCAGCCCTCTGATACATAAGCACATGTAGAGTTGAAAGCATGTAAGCTCCTGGCAGCCCCTGCGAAGCAGACACGGAGCTGAGAGGACCAAGGAGGAGAAGGGCAGGTTCACTCAATGACTGAGAGCTAGTTCCTTGGCCTCCAGTGGTGACACTAAACTTTGGTCTTCTAATGGAAGAAGTTTCTTCTTCAATGCACCACTGATGGTACCCCTCAAGAAGTGATTTGATGGGAAGTATTGCCCTTCTCCCCATGGATCTTATGTCAAAAGTGCACCTGCTTTACCTGAAGAAAAGGGGGTGTCCCCTCCTTTTGCCTCTAGGCAAACCTCAGCACAGGAGAGGTGTGCCATTGGAACAGTACAGACTTCAAGCCGTTGGTGCTGAATTAAAACATGGGAGTGAAGAATTCCCTAGTGTGCATTTAGCCATGACAGTCAGAAGAAGTGGGGGGATTAAAGCAAGTATTTGCTGGTCCTCCAAATGCACACTGGT